AGGCGTAGGAGGTCCTAAACACTGCTTTCTTTTTTGCTGTACAAATTTTTGACAGCCTGACCCAGGTCCTACTGATTTTAATACACACTGGACCACATCTTGGGTCATGCCTAGGTTTGCTTTCCGTAGTTTTTCCTATGGTTTCTGAAAAAAAAAAAAAAAAAGGTTTTCATAAAAACAGCCTGGCACAAACTTCACTCTCAGGGTAATGCTGTATGGCATAGACATACCCACTATCAGTTCCAAATCTGGATGCAGTGTAGCTGTACTAGTACAGCTTTACTGGTATATGCAGCCTAGTAGGCTTTGCTGAATGCTTCTGGTTCCAGAGCCAGCATGACGTCTATATCTGCATGACACAGCCTGGGGCTGTGCACACAAATCCTTACCAGTTTCTTCCCTGTATCAGTGAAGTCTGCTTCAACTGAGGAACAGTGGCAACTCCTTCAGCATGAGTGACATCCATTTCCTTCTCAAAAGGAAAAAGACTTCACAGTCTCCTTTCACAGGAACCTTTCATTTGAACAGGGGGAGACCTGGGTTCCATCCCTGCTGCAACCAAGTTTTGAGCAGCCATAACATGTACCAAGGTGGCATGCATGAGGTCCAAGATAGCCACCGATCATACCTTGACACATCACTTTGAGAGGCTGAACACCAACATTTGAGAATATTCTAAGATTAATTTTCTAGTCAAGAAAAGACTACGGAATTTGAAAGAAAGGAGGCTGGTCCTTACCCCAGCCTCCAATTGCCAGTCTGCATCATAAACGTATCTAAGCTACTTGCAACCTGAACAGAAGGGCCACAGATCAAAGGAAACTATCTTTCTCCACAGTGGGCCCTCCAGGTCAGGATTCAGGCACACGGGTAGAAAAGAATAAGGATGCTTGCAATGCCGCCACTGGGATTAGGGAGAGCTTCAGTCTCTAGTACTGACAAATCAGCACCCTACATGGGCACAAAAAAGTAAAATACACTTTAAGGCTGAGTCTCTTCCAATACTTACTAGCCTGGTGTGTCCTATTGCGATGATAAAATCAAAGAAAGGCTCCAACCCGGCATGCTGAGCTGGAGAGTTCTCTTGAACCTACAAAATTGCACAATTTCAGTTTACAGCACAGTACAAACGATCTATCATAGTTAACATACATCATGCACCAGCAGTACTTGATGTGGTCTTCACATCTAGTATCTGAATTTGGATTGAACCAAATGAGTGAAACTCATGACAAGACACCTGTGGAAGGATTTCTTGAATGGTCACGCTAAACAGCCAGCTACTGAATCAATTACTGCATGTGAAATCGAAACAAAGAATGCGGGATCGATAATTACGACTCCTTTGCTAACGAAGTTTGGATATCTTCTGGCAGCATTCTTCTATACGCACCATTAAACGAAAGGAATCTGAAGATACACCAGACGCTTTTGAGACCTGGATAACGTTTACTCAGGACACTTCGTCTTGGACACCTCGTAATTTATAGTGTATTAGATCAGATCACAGGAAAGTAGGGCTGGAAGGGCATTCACAAGCTCGTCCAGTCCAGCCCCCTGACCAAGGAAGCCTCAACCCAACTAAACCATCCCAGCCAAGTGTTTGTCTAACTTACTCTTGCAAACGCCTAAGGACGGGGATCCCACAACCTCTCTGGGGGACCTGTTCGACTGCTCGATCGCCTTCTTTCTGCCGGACAGTTCCTCCTAATCCGCAACCTACGTTTCCTCTGCTGCATCTTGAGGCCGCTGCTCCGAAGCCCGTCCCCTCCAGCCAGAGAAAAGCCCATCTCTGTCCTCTCCGTACCGCCCTTCACGTATGGGAAGGCTGCTACCAAACCCCCCTCCCCCGTCTTCCCTTCTCCAGACTAAATAACCCCGGCTCGTTCAGCCTTTCCTCGCACGTCGTGCTTCCCAGGCCCCCGATCATTGCCACGGCTCTGCACCGAGCTCTTTCCCATCTGTCCAGAGGACGAAAGCA